TCTCTCTCTCTCTCTCTCTCTCTCTCTCTCTCTCTCTCTCTCTCTCTCTCTCTCTCTCTCTCGCGCGCGCGCGCGCGCGTAGTCTGCTGATGAAGTGAAGTCAGATAGCGAAAGGGTGAGAAGGAGATGGTGGACTGAGAAGAGGAAGGAGAAACCTGTGAAGATGGCGCTGTGCTGCAGGTACCTCGAAGACGAAGCTGGAGCAACGGCGCTGCAGGTAAGTATCACTGGCCTCCGCCCAATCTCTCTCTCTCTAGTACTACTCTAGCTATGGTGCCCAGCGCTGAAGACTACAACTAACGCTACTAGCGCCCAGCGCTGAAGACTACCTCTAATGCTACAACTACTCCTGCAGCGCTCCTCCAGAGTGCTGCTGCCGAATCCTGAAGACTACTGACTGCCTCCTGCCTATCCGTGAAGTGCATGGGAAGTCCCTATGTACTACCTCGGCCTGCCTCCTGACTGCCTCCGACTGCCTGCAGTTGCAGGGAGGGCAGTCCAGGAGGCTGCTCTTGCCACTGCCCAACTGAGCCAGGGTTTCGCGCCGCAGCTGTCGTGGGAACAGGCCAAAAATAGCTTGTTCCTAAAACCCTGGTTTGGTGCCTGAGTTTCAGGGCAGGTCGGTCTGATGAAAGACCGAAAATGCCCCTTCGTTTCAGGCTAAAAAGGCTACTGCCATTTTTAGTCTGAAACGACACAGGGTCTGTAGGCCCCTGTTTTTCAGGCTTTCGAGCTGAACAGACACAGGGCCTGTAGGCCCTGGTTTTCAGGCTTTCAGCCTGAGGGACGCAGGGCCTGGAAAATGGCCCTCGTGTGCAGGCGCAGCATGTAACATAGGCCTCGGGAGGTGCCTGCCGTTGTACTCAACCAGTGGCCCAGTGGGGAGATCAGATGGATTGTGACAGCCCCAAGGACAGTCTCCTCCTGGGGGCATCATTCGTGAACTTTTTTTGTTGTCCTAATCAGATTCCAAGTCAAGCCCTACAGCGGTGCGATCCAGACCTTGTCTCTAAACGTAGACCTACACCAACCCATGCCTTCCGAGGGTCTCGGATGAGTCCCCCCGGGCCTACCATAAGGACACCCCGAATTCTCAAGGACGACCCGGACACAGGAGGGGTGTATCACATCTAGCAGACTCTATGGGTGTCTACCACCCTTCTACTATCAATGCGACAACCCACCCTCCCCTGCCTAAGATGAGATCCCTACCCAAAGACCCTTCCCCGGATTCACACCCCAATCAACCCCCTCAATGGGAATGCAAACAGTCACCAGCCCGGATGAAGCGCAGCCCACAAGCATCGTGAGATAGGCATGAGGCCCGCCCTTGGGAATCATATATGTCTAACACCCAACCCCTACCACTACTCAAGGGGGTTGTAGAGAGCGGTGCCGGACCGGGACCAGAATTGTACAATGTAAGTATGGACTCTCGCTGGTGTACCATGAGGTCGGGAAACTACCATGGTGCCCAGTCGCACCCATGACACACCAACAGAGCAGTGCATACAAACGGGATGGTGCACATGCTACGGCCATGGACTAACCATTGGGTGGTGCGCAGGCAGTGTCTGTAATAGTACCATGTGTCAGCCCAAGGGGAGTGTGCAAATGGCAATACGTCAGTTGATGCCCGCTGGTGGCCTATGCGCAAGAGTGCAGGCTCAAAGATTTGAACCCGCGCCCTAATACGACAATCCGCATTTCCAACCAGTGCTCTAACCACTGAGCCACTGGCCATTCGTGGTCAACCGACATTCTATTCTAATCTAATTGAATTAGACTAAAGCGTTATACAAGCACTTCGTTACTTGCCTCTCTATTTGTTGCTTGCCTCTCTACTTGTGAAGCAGCCCGCGACCTCTTATGGACCCATCAACAAAATAAGAACATGTGACGAACCGATTTCCGCACCGCGCGATTTCCTGCGCGATAGCGATGAGGGTTCCTAAGCTGGGAGGAATGGGCCAATTACGGGAGATCAGGATAGGAAGGAAATTGCATTGGTGTCCCTACTTCTTCGTCTTTTTTGTCGTCTCCTTTTTCGATGGTTGGGTTCGGAACTGGGCGTGTCCCGGGACGATCGGTCGATTGGTCGGTTGGATGGCTGGCGCGCTGTCATGCGCGCGATTAATAACTGTTGACGTCGCTTCTTTTGTTTCGATTTTGGAATTTAGGTGCGGACATCGCGCGGGAATTTGCTTCGTTCTTTTTGAATTCTTTTTTGAATCTTGTCGAGCCCCGATGGCTCTTGGAATTTCGGACTTTCCTTTCGGAAATTGTGCTTTCCGCCTTTTTTTGTGTTAGGTAGGAATTTAGGAATTTTGTAATTAGGAATTTCTTATGGGCCGCGCGGCGCTTTTTGCTTACGCGCTTCTTCGTGCGGCTGCAACGGAACTTTGATTAGTCGGCGCCTTTAATCGTGTGTGTAACTGTAATTTTGAGCGAGCGCCATTGTAACTGTATCGTTCTTCTTGTGTTTCGCCTTTCCCTCCCTTCTTCTCTTTCTTTTCGCTGTGTTTTGGTAGCCGCGGTCTGCATGATCGGATTGATGCGTGGAGAGCGGCTACGTCCCCCACGCCGCAGCCCGGTCATGCAAAACGCAGGCGCTCCCTCTCTAATCTTCCTTCTAAAGTCCTTGTAATTTCGTGTTCTTTGCGCATGCATGCACGCTATAAATTCCGGTTGCGTGATTAGTTAGCTCTCTTAACCAGCTCAGTGGAAGCTCGGGGTAGCGCGATCAGTAAGGGTCGGCTCACGAGCGAAGTAAGAGGTGAGTTGAAGTGGGAGTCGGGCGACCCGACGAGCTGGTGCCAAACGCGCGGGGTTGACGCGGGCCACGACGGACTGTGGGCGCGGGCGAACCTGACGGGTGTGGGAGGACTAAGCGGGCTGACGGCTTCGCGGGTTGGTGTGTGACGACGGACTGTCCGCATTGGAGAGAGAGAGAGAGGAAGAGGGAGCTGAGGTTGATGGACGCGGATTTGCTGTTTCTTTTGTCTTTTCTCCCTCTCTGGTGGTGTATATAAATTTTGATTTCAGATCGGGGCGATTCGCCCGTTTTTGTTTTCGGAATCCTGGCTCGGTTTTCTTTCGTCCACACTCGTCTTTGCGATTTCCATCTCGGATCTTGAGGGCATTATGTAGAATGAATGGATGAATGGATGTTATATCTTGTTGCTTGATCTTTGCCTTTGCCAATTGTCTTGATGCATTCATGAGTAGGGTAGGAATTTTTGTGTAGTCATCAACACTGCTTCCGTTCTTGCTTACCCCTTGATTGAGCTGTTGCGATTGTTGCATCTTGTCGGC